TGAAGCAGGCATAAAGCCACTACTTTTGATTGAAGAGAAGGGTAAACAGAGGCGATGAGATGTATAGATAACCCCTAAGCCTCCGATGGAATGATCTGTGAACAGGTAGGAAGAATTAAGAGCTGTCTTCCAGCAGTGCGGGACCAACTCATAACCCACTTGATGGCCAAACGACCTCCTCGTCAAGAGGGAAGGAAAGGAGCATTCTGATCTCAAGGCAGGAACACTGGCTTCATCTGGATGGATGGATGAGTTTGGAGGTAAATTCTATTCTCTGAAAGTGACAATTTATACTGAAACAGAGAAAAACTGCCCAGTTTTAAAAAGGAGTTGGAAAATTAATGGGATGATTAATTAGAATAAAATCAATAAATAAACACATTCACCACCACACATGAGATTAGAACTGTTTTAGTGGGAAGACAGAGAATATGCTGAAGAATATGTATTTATGGTCTAAACAGAGGAAAAACAGAGCAGGCATAGTTGAGACTAACAGTTTGTACCTGACCCTGTTCCAGAGAGTCAAGGAAACATGATTCTAACTATTCAGTGAGCTCTTCTTGAGGCTGTTGGTTTGTATTTTCATAGAAAAATTGGGAATCTGTCACAAACAATGCAAAACAATCTTGGGACTGGATATACTTTTCCTTAGCCCAAGACATCATAGGTGAATTTTGTTGAAACAAACTCTAATGTCAGTGTGGAAAGACAAAATCTCTTTAACAACCATATTCCGAAGTAGGGAACCTTGTGACTAAAAGTGCACACGAGCTGTGTGTGGTCCCTGCGTTCTGCAGAGAGAAAAGCCTGTCTGTCTGGCCTGATCTACAGCTGGGGCCCTCTCATTCCAGGAGTTTATGACAGGTATCAGGGGAGGGGTACTGTCTGCTGCATTGAATTCATCTACCCTGGAGTTACTCCCAGTTCCTAACACAATGAAAAGCCTTGAAGAAAGATTTAGGAGATTCCAGGCTCTGAGAAAGTTGGAAGGTGAGAGTTGGCTTAAGTTTACCTGGCTGGCTTGTCTGAATCACCTCCAATAACCCAACGGCCCAACACCCAGTAAAGGGCTCTGTGCTTGGGTGCATCGATCAGTCCATCTGAAATCGGGTCAGACATTAATCAGCCACAGTCTGCACCCAGATCTTCTCTCTCCCAGGGAAGAATCCTCATAATAAATGTTTTTTCCTGTGTGCACATTTTGCTTGACACATTTTGCTTGAATAAAGGTATTAGGCAGGAAAATAGATATAAGCAGGGTGGAAAGAGAATAAGGTCGGTAAAGCCCCGTAGAAAGGACTCGGTTAACCAGTTAAAACTAGAAAGCCAGAAAAGACTCAGAGTTAATGAGTTAATCAGTTAAAGCTCAACATTTCAGGAGCAACTTGGCCTTGAATGTTCGAATATTCCCCAGATAAAGAGAATTATGTCAGCGTAACCCATGTCTTCATTGGGTCAATCAGATCACGCCACTGTAAGAATTACTCTAGCCTGCTAAAGGCCCAGCTATAAACAGCATAATAAAGACAGAAAGATTCCACCTTAAAGCTAAAATTGCATTTTAAAAAATCCAGAAAGTTAAGAAGATTCTTAACATTCTGTTTAGCAAACAAACAATAACTTGGCCCATGCTGGGGGCAGGGCAAGTGGTCTTAACTGATATGCTCCCAGACCAAGAAGCTGCTATTCTGGGAAGAAATCAGTAGTAAATGTCTTATGTTAATTTTGCAGAATTACCTGGACAATTAATAAGAAAAGAAATTTAATGATTCATCAAGGATTCTGGGACCACTTAACAAGTCCACACCCCTAGCCCTTTGAAAATCCTCAACCACCTATAAAACCCCTGACCCTACACCCTTAGGGGCGCCTCTTCTCTGAGGCAGCCCACACTCCCCTTTCTCTGAGTGTGCACCTTTTTGCTTTAAATAGACCTCTCATTGCTCAACTTATAATGCTCTGTCTCTGCACTTTTCCAGGGGTAAGTGTCTTTGTCACTTTGCTTTTTCATTCTAATCCTCTGGATTTCAGTTCAAACTTTCACTGTCTCCGTTCTATATCAAATAAGTAGGGAGGGGCTGCTGAGAGCTCAGATCTGGGCTTGCAAATTACCATCGCCTGGGTGACCCTGATGGAGCTGCAGCTCATGGTCATGCTCTTTAGTAGCCTGTCTGAAAGTCTCCTTTCTGCCTCTAGGAAGTTTGCAGAACATAACCTCACTCCATCCGGTGCTCCGCGGCTCCCCCAAATCCTGGGGTGGGAGGGACTCAGTTCCCACGCTGTGCGGATCCAAGCAGACGCTGGATGCCAGGTGACACTGGCTTAAGGAGTCAGTGGGGAATGTGCCCCGTGCTGAGCAGCAGTTCCATGGACTTCCTTCATCACGCTGTTCTGCCATTCCCTGGCACTCTCACTTAAATAGATCCTTTCCTCACCTGGTACTCTGACCCCCCTGCGTCTCTGAACTGACTTCCCCTAACAAAGGCGAACCTGTGATTTGGTAGGCTGGTGCTCTTGCGCTGGCTTTTACAGTAGCATTTTTGCATTTATTATGCAGTCTTCTACATCCTGCTGGTGAAAGCTGAGGTAATATTAAGACGTGAGCTTCAGCTTATGTACTTTAGATTACTGAAATGTTTTTAATTTTAATTTTGTCTCTTTTTATACTTCTCTTTCCCCAATTTTGTTGGCGTTTTAGATCTCTTTACATAAGGTACTTGAGGTCTGGGATATTTTATTACTCTATCCAAGAAATACTGATGGAGTTCTTCTCCGTCCTAGCTTTACACAGGATATATAACTGGTGGACCGAAGACAGTAGTAGTGTGTTTGTAGTACGAAACAGTAAGACATGCACGCTGATCAGAAATACAGGATGTTTCTCCAGGTAGTTTTGCAAATGTCCAATGACCGTGGAGAAACACGAACTCTCTGGGGATGATTCTCTCAGTCAATAGCATAGCTCAGTCATTCTGTTCATAGTCAAACCTGCAGGTGAGTTTTCTTCAATGCCCTAGTCACAAGCATGTAGAATAAATGTTAATGCATAGGGGTATGTGAATATCATGAAATTTAAAAATACGGTTGGTAGTCTTTTTGAATCATGGCTTCTGACGAGGAGGTTCCTATTCAGGCTGAGAAACAGAAGCTCAATAGTTGCACTTGAATTTTGTCTTTATTTTCAGTCTTGGTAACATTTGAAAAAAGCTTAGTGTTACTGTGTTGGCCCAAAGTGACCCCTGCTCAGGACTGCCAGAGAGGTTATGCCGAGGCAGACGCCTCTGCGTGTTCATCAGCTTCCCCTTTAAGTTCAAGAGCTCTGCTTTGGCGGATGAAACCACGACAGGTGACCTTACTCTCAGGTGGCTACGGAGCTCATGCCAGAGATGATCTCTGCCCTTAGGACTTAGAGACAAATCCTGCTTTGAGATCATTTATAAATGGATAGCTCCTGAGACAAGGAAAGCTTTTTGAATATCACCAAGGAGATTAAAAATCTTACAATGGCTGTGATGACTTTAGTGTAGCTTTTTTTTTCAAGTAAAGTTGTCACAACAGAAGGATGGTAGGGTTTGTATGGAGTCCAGACAGAGGAGGATTCGAGTCAGAATTCGTCAGCCTGCCTCTTCTTGAGTCCATGCAAAAAATGTTCTGAGTCTAATGACTGAACCTCTCTTTTGGCAGCAATACTCTAAAGTGGAGAAGAACAAACCTTCAGGCTACTAAAACCTTCTGGAAATAGCACCCTGGAATATCCAATGCCCTTTGCTCTAACTCTGTGTCTACCAAATAGGAGAAGGGTCTTTAATGCCATCCCTGCGTAGTCTTACCTACCCTGAAGGAGTGTTACACGTCTTACCACATCCCCACCCCCCTACGCCGCCCACCGTGACAAATGAAAGCATTTGTGTTTTGGCTTGTGAATCTTTCAAGTGTTAATTAGCATAATGACCCAGAGACTCCTCACCCCAAGCGAACTTTCAAAAGTAGTTTCAGTACAGTGTAAATACATTATGATCAATGTTGTTAGTAAAATGATACACAGCTGGAGGAGCATCCCCTGTGCCCCCAGCAGCCCCCACCTAGAGGCCGACTCTGGGCAGGAAGAATGCCTGCGTTTCTTCATCCTGAAACAAGTGGTTCTGATAGGAGAAAGGCTTGTTTTTTCTTCTTCCCTTCCAGGCATCTGTATGAGCGTGAGAATATTTACAGCACCTGATAACAGCCAGGTTGCAGCTGGGGACTCTCCTGCTGGTTCCTCTGCTACCCCTCACACGGTTGGCTGGGGGACTCCTGTCTCTGGCTTTTGGGGGTTCGCTTCCAAACTCAGACCCTGCCTGGCGCTCACTACCAAAGCGAGACGTTCCCTTTCACGTCTTGTTCCCTCTGTGTCTATCTCTCTGCTGTTTGATCTGATAAAACCTTTCCTTCAAAGCATGAAAGAAGGACCATGAATTATTTGGTGAGGTTTCTGGAAGGATCACTGTCCTTCTAAAGGACGGAGGGAAGTCTTTTTCGAATCAGGTGGTCTGAGTGGACCTCAGCACTCAACGAGCCGGTGGTGTCAGAGAGATTGTTCTTACCTCCTGGACCTGGTGCTCTTTTTGCCAAAAAAACTTCTCACTCTGAGAGAAAGACCCTAATGTAGGGGAGCACATCTTACACTGCTTCCCTGGGCTGGAAAAACTCAGGTAAGAGTTCTGCCTGGGAAAATGGCAGCGATGAGTAACTAAAGGCCATAATTATTATATTCCCCTAAGAATGTTCCATGCCCTGCAGATTGTAAAAGCAGTGAGTGAATTAGGGAAAGACACTTCTGCTCCCAAGGGAAAAAAATAATCACTAGAAAAATCATCACCTTTGCAGGCAATCTTGTGAAAGGTCACTTCTAATCATGTTGTATTTGTTGATCAATTTTACACGTACGAGACACATTTAAGGCATCTGTTAGGCATCAGATTTATAAACAAACAGGTAGCAGAAGAGAGATCACAAACCTGCTTGATGCTTCCCCTTGTTCTTTCCTTCAGGTGCGTGCAGACAGAAGAGAAATGATGACAAACGGGTGAATACATTTAAACTACTTGATAACGGCCAAATTGGAGGTGGGAAATCAAGTACCTTAAGGAATTCTTTTCAAGCAAGATCCACAGAAGCAATATTCTTTATAATAAATGTACCCATTTTTTTTACATATGTTCTTTGTGACACAGACCTGAGATAGCACAACATTTACCCAAAAAACCAATACTGCTCACATGTAACCAACAACTATAGACTCTTCATTGGCCGCAGTTATCCACAGCTGAGAAGTGGTTCTGATCTAACCGGCCCTGGCGGAGACTCCTAGAAGGGCGCTGCTCACACCATGGCGGTAGTCCTGTGCCTCAGGCAGACTTTTGGGCTTCCTGGTCTGGATTCATTAATGTGTGGCTGTGGCTTTGTGCTCCGATCACTTAAGGCAGATTTTGTTTTCTCTATTGTACAGAGTGTGAATTCTTTTGCACTAAATTAGGTGCATGAAGATATATCAGGACACTTCCTGCTTAGAGCTGGATGGTGTTTTTAACGACCCATTTTACAAAGTGGGGTCTATGTAACGTGGCGTAGGATCCTGACTGTTTGCAAATGAACTGTGTGTTCTTTTGTCTGAGTTTCTTTCTGTGGATCTTGATTTTCTTATAAATACTTTGATACACTAGATTAGATAATCTCTAAATTCTGTGGATCTTGATTTTCTTATAAATACTTTGATACACTAGATTAGATAATCTCTAAATTCTGACTTCTTAAAGCATCACATGGCATCCTAGGTGCTTTAGTTATAAAGTTATAAAAATTGGTATATATCCTTAGTTATAAAGCTAAAACTCCCCACAGTATCAGCAAATACAGGACTTATTCCCTACAGAAGACATTCCCCTGGCTTTACACTTTGCATAGCCTCTGCCCCCTTTGCAGGGATCAAGAAATATATGTTCCCTCTATGAATCCTTCTGTTATTAAAAGAAAACTCTGAAATAGCGGCTACAACCTCTATGTATGTAGGAGACAGACCAGACCAGAAAGAAAAGAGCAAGAAGCTGCAGGCGTATCCTCCCTGGATGGTTTGAGGGGGTCTGACAGGTGCCGCTGCTCTCTGCTCCCCCCTGCCCCCCACTTCTCCCCTATCCTCCTCCTTGGGGTGAGGCTGTGGAGTCAAAACATCCCACTGTATCTTTAAAGCTGTGGGGAACACGAGCAGGAGTTGATGTTTTTAATGATGATGATGGTGGCGATGACACCATTGATGAGATGATCTCTTCCCTGGCCACCTGGTCAAACAGCAGGCTCTGAGGCCCCCTAAACCCCTTCCCTATTTTACTTTCCCCAGTAGCACTAATTGCATCTGATCTATTTTGCATTATATATCTTATTTATTTACTTTTTTTTTATTGTGTCTTTCCTAGTATCCCTTGAATATATATTTCCTGAGGCCTGAGATTCTAACCTATTTGTTTTTTAGGTCCACTGTTATGTTCCTGGTGTTTGGAACAGTGCCTTGTATATTATAGGTGCTCAATGAATACATATTGAGTGGGTGTATGAATGAATGAATGAAGAATGTCCTCCTTTAGAAATTCTTCAGCTCTGAGTGTTAAAGGGAATACAGTATGTAAATAAAAAAGTTCCTGTCTATTTCTTGCTATATCATCCTGCACTCAGCCAGTTAGTTATAAATGTAAAACTATTCCTTTATGTCATTATAGATTATTCTCACAGATCTACAAATTTGATTAAAGCAGGTTTGCTTTCTAAAGTGAAGGTTCTGAACTTGGCTTCAGGGAGTCCATGAATACATTAAAATTACAGGCAAAGTTTTGATATTCTTGTGCAGTAAATATTTTTCTTAGGAAGGAGCCTCTAATTACCATCACGCTCTCTATGATTTCACAAGAACAAGAAAACAACAAAGATTAGGAACCACTGCAATTTGGAGCAATAAAGTGTTGCTGGAGGGAGAGGGGCTAGGACATCCGGGCTCCCATGAACTCTGCAGTGACTTCGGTGTCACTCTGGACAAATAGCTGTTATTAAGTAAATGGGGCCGAGACTCAGGGGTTGCTAAGGGGGGCTGGATGGGGAGAGCGAGGCACAGGGTCTATAGCCGCTGCGGAACAGGATGAATGCAAGTTTTGCATGAATTCACCTCCATTACCACCCTCATTTAGAAAACAGGGAAAATATCAGAAGAAAAGAGAAAAACTGGGAGAATGTGACTTATTATCAAAGAGTTTTTTCAGACTTCATAATGACTTCCAAAAGCTGCGGGAGGTGGGAAGTCAAAAAGTCACACATAATAACGGACTGCCTGCTGCTGCTTCAGAACCTTCCTCTGGTGTGTCCACCAGCCTTCCTTTTACACCTTTACCAAGCAACCTTGACGAGGACAAGAAATGTAACTTCCATATAGTTGCCGTTCCAGATTCATATCCCCAAGGGACACACGGCCTAAGAGTTATGTTCCTTTTTTAATACCAAAGCTTAGAAAGAGTCTCATTGCCAATAAAGGGAACTCAACTAAATTTTCAGATTTATGGGAAAAGGAGATTCTCATCCATATGTTCACTCAACAGCATCCATGCTTCTGTCTTGCTAAGGTTCCATCCCCCCTCAAATCCTGGGCTTCTCTGAATATCTTTGTCACACATGCTGGCAAGGCTTTGACCCCAACTTCTAGGAGGCTTGTTCCATTAGAGCTAAGATGTCATTGTGACCAGCTTTTGGTCATCCCCTTGCGGATGGGAAAATAGGCTCAGGGCAGGACAGGGAAGTGAGGTGACAGGTCCTGTCAGTTAACGACAGACCTGCTGCTGCCCAGCGTCGGGTGCTGTGCCCCACAAACCCCTTTAAGGCTGCAATTCCAGGGAACAAGTCATGAGGGTTTCCCCAGCCGAGAGCTCTCCCACATCGGGAGGAAGAGGTTCCCGCGGCCGAGCCACAGTAGGTAGGTACCTTGAGTCCCGTGAAGCCGCTGGGATTAAGGTGCTGCTGGGCTATGAAGGGAAATGGGGGGTGCTCTAAAATATCAAGTCGGATAAGCAGTTGGATGCGTTCTGAACAACCTGTGGAACAACTGTAACCAAGTCGGGTGACTTGCAAAGACTCCCCTTTGACTGGCTTGCCGTGGCTGTTACAGGAGGATTCTTTCACTAGCTGGTGATTATGATTTAATATGTGTTCTGCCAGTTCCACTGGAGCCCAGGGTTCCAGGACCAAGGATTTTTTTTTTAAACAAAAGATCATCAGAACCATTGATCATTTCTCCGGTTCTCCTCTCTTCCCAGCACCTGGTAGGCCTGCACTGTGCCACCGGGAGTTGAGGCACAGCTGCGTGGTTTGCTTTAGCCAATGAAAGGTGAAGGGAAGTAATAGTATTTAAAAAATTTGAAAGCTAATTCCCAGTTTCCATCTGATTGGTCCTGTTGCCTCTTCGGGAACTGTGCTCCTAACAGGACTCTAACTCTTACCTTCTTTTGGTAATGACATCACTTCGATCTGCAAGGAAAGCTCAGGGACCATCCCAGAAGGGGATCTGGGGGGGAAACGACTTCAAGGGACTCAAATGTGCAAAGGTGTGTTTGCTCCCAAAGCCTGCTGGCTCAGGAGATGGACGGGGTTGGCACAACCGTTATTTGTCAAGAACCCTAGTTCTTACCTCCCGAATTCCGGTAGGCTTTATGGAACGAGATACTAGAAAGTCAGTATGAAATAGTAGAAACAAATCTATGAAAGCTTAGATTATTTTGGTCTTTAAGCCTCGTCTGTGAATGGCGAGGAATGACACTGGTCCATTTACTTTTGTGCCTGAGTTACTACTGAGCCAGATGGAAAATCTCAAGGGGCAACAGAGAGTCCGACCTGCCCCAAATCCACATGCTCACGGCTTTGAGTGTGTGTGTGTGAGGCTCGTTTTACAAAACGGAAGAGACTCGATTATGGTCCCGGCTGTCGCACTGATACCTACTTGGTCGGGCTGCAGGTGTGCAAGGCCTTCAGATGTGGCTTCCAGGTGGCGATGGAAACAGATTTCTCATCGGCTGCGTAACTGCGCCAAACACACTGCCGGGGGCAAGTGTGGGGAACCAGAGAGAGAGAAAAGAGGACATGGTATGAAGTGAGAGGCAGCTCGTTAAGTTCTTGCGTATTAAGATGCTTTCCCTTGTCACTTAGGCCTGGTATATGCCCAGTGGGTGAAGACTACTTGGCATTTTCAGCTGGCTGTTAAATGTGCCTTGTCAGTGGAACTGCTTTTCAGAACAACTCACACCAAAGGACAAAAGCACCCAAAAGAAAAACATAAAGCAACTTCCCAATTGGTCGGAGAAAGATAGGAGGTTGTCTGAGGCCAGGCTCCTGAGTGTGAACATGCGGTCCAGAAACAGCCGCACAGCTGTCATCGCTGTTTGGCAGACAGAGGTAGAGGCCTCCTGAAAACTCACAGTGCAACTAGTCAGCCAGCTAGTACACCATCTGTCAAGCTAATGGCCACCAGGGCAATGTGTGTGATTCCCTAAGGTGGAACCAGGCAAGACTTCCAGTGCTAAAATGAAGAAGACGATGGCACAGAGGTGGGCTGAAACAAGACGGGGCAAGACGTGTTCCCCGGGGGTGTAACCGGAAGGCACTTGAGGATTTGACATCGTGTCCAAGAATATGTTTATAGGTCTTTGATGTAAACCATAAGCTTTCTACTTCATATAATTATACCTGACAAATAGAATGTATTGTCATGTTATCCTGACAATCAGAATGTGGATTAAGACCCTTATTCTATAGGTGAGAAAAGTGAAGGCTCAGATCAATAAATAGGTCCACATGGGGCTGGCAGAGTGGAGAACTGCTCTCAGATGGCCTGGCTCTTGGTCCCACGACTCCTCCACTGTCCTCGGCTGACTGCTTCCTGCCTGTTGTCGGAAAAGCTTCCCTCTGAGCCATCCATTTGAGAAGCTGCCTGAATGTACTTTCCAGATAGATTTTGGTGAATTTTCTCCTTTGTAGTAAGTCTGCATATATATCTCTAATGACCAAGTGTTTACTCCAATCTCCTGAGAGAAAACTTTTTATTATAATTCATAAATCAAAGCAGTCCATTTTATGTGGCAGATTCATTTCAATGATTCGTAACTCTACTATCAAACCATCACTCATGATTTTGAAACCTACACTGAGAAAATAGTGCTCTAATAATAATCCTTTTCTTGAGAAAATCACTGAATAAATGCATGTTGAACACAAAGTTAAAAGTTGACACAAGTATTTTGGCAAACTGCTTGGCAGTATCTGTTTAAGCTGAATGTACAAATACCCTATGATAGAGCCACATACTCCTACATACATGCTCAACAGACATGTTTATTTATGTTGTGCTAAATAAAACATGTACTATAATGCACAGAACAGTACTGTTCTTAATTAGCCAAAGCTGGAAATAAGCAACCTAACAACAGTACAATGAATTGTGGCATATTAACATGTTGGAATAGGGTGCAGGAATAGAACACTATAACTACACGCAACTGTATGGATGACCTTTACGTGAAAAATGTTGAGCAAGAGAAACAAGGCACAGAAGAGAACATTGTATGATTCCATTTCCATAAAGTACAAAAAACAGGGACACTAATCTACGCTGAGCAGGCAGCAGTGATTGGGAAAGGGCACACAGGGGGCCCTAGTCCTGTTTCTTTGTCTGGGTGCTGGGTACACGGGAGTTCTCTCAGGATATGTGCTTTATTCTGCATGCACATGTCTTCAATAAAATGTTCAAGAAATGATGTAAAAAAACCTAGAGAAATACATAGTAAGACCTGAGTTTTTTTTCTTTTAATCTTTTTAAGGCAGGTTTAAATAACAGGAGCAGGGCCCCTTTCCTGGAGCCCTGTTCACGTGACTCATGTTGATTTATTCTAGGAATCTGTGAAAACTTATGCTTAGCGTCTTGGTGGCTTACAGAGAATAAAATATCATTGTTATATCATCTTGAAATGTTAGTCTTTGCCATTATTAAACACAATTTCCGGAGTGATCTCAAGTGATCCATGAAAACGAATGGGTTTATTATTGCAGCTTCCTCCATAGTGAGGCCCAGGGAACCTCGAAAGCTGTGATGTCATAGATGACTCCTTGAGGAAAGAATTTTCACAGAAGGCATCATATATTCATAAACTCAGGTGCTTTGAAAGCAAGACTCACGTAGAACTTCTAAGTCTGCACATTGTTAGGTGCCAGACCACAATACGACAAAAAATGGGACCAGGATATTAGCTGCCAAGTGGAGGTAAAAAAGGCCACTTTTAGAAAATTGAAGATAGTCTTAAAAATGAGACCTGGCTCCTTGCTCTTTTTCTATCATACTCATCTCAGCAGCTATACCCTCATGCCCGCCATTACTCTTCTCCAAAAAATGGCTGGTAATGGGAGGTACAGAAGGAGCAAGTGGCATGAATCTCAAAATGGGGTGGAAAGCATAACTCTACTCATCTTACAGTCTAATCACTGTTGCCCTTGGTCTCTGTCTTCGTTGACCGCTGAGCCTCAAGGTCACAACCATATGATCAAGTAGCTGGTGTTCCTATATTTCAAGCCAAAACCACAGAGTGGTTGGCAAGAGAAAAACAATACCCCAGAGGGATTTAACATACGCAGCATATACACTTTGAAGGATAAATAAACGAGAAGCAGAATAAAAGCCAAATTGACTGTTTATCAGGTGACCCTGCTGTTCTAGGCAGTCAAACAAATTCAAAGTTTGGTCTATAATTTTAAGTACAATGTCAGCATAAGTAAGTTTTTAGGGGGTATTCAGTTTGTATTCTCTGGAGAATTATAGTGATGGCACATTTGACCCCTCTGGGAATTCCAATTTCAGCTGAGCCACCAAAGGTTTAATTAACATGGAGCTGATTATCTCAACGTACAGAATTTAAGAAGTCAGGGAACAAAAAGATCGGGGATGAAACCATCAATCTCTTTCCTCACCTTGCTTCTCATGAACTTCTCTTCCCCTAGAGGCGACCACCTTCATTCTGAATAGTCGTTGCTTCTATTTTTTAAGAATCCTTGTTTTTAAGGATTGTTCTCACATTTCTTGATATTTTAATTTTGGGCATTATCCGTTAACTTCCTACCATGAAAAATAATGACAACCCACTATGGACACTTTTTCCTTCTCGTGCTGCCAACAATTCTTAGTTAAATTACTTTTTAGTGTTTGCATTATGTCCATCTAACTCTTGTTCCTCATTCAGCAATGTGATTTACCACGATTATTCTTTCTTTCCTATATATACAGTTTTTGTTCCTTCTTGGAGTTATCATTGCCATGTTTTAATTCTTGGTCTGCCTTGATGTACCCATCATGAATACGTTCCCTGACTCTCCCTGGAGCTCTGAAGCTCCTCTAGTCCGGTACATCCTGAGACTTCCCTTCATCTCGGCCCAGAGAGTCCCTGAGCTCTTTCTTGTGTGGGATCTCTTATTTCCTGGGTCTCGTGTCTCTCTTGGTTTATCTTCTTGTTTTGGAAGAGCAATTCTATCCAAATAGCTTCTTCATAAAAATGAAGTTTCAACTTTATTTAGGTGTAATGGATATAAAATTATAGGCTATTGGAAGTGTACATCATGGTGATTTGACATATGAATATATTATGAAAGGAGTCCCCCCATCTAGTTACTAATTAACACATCCATCACTTCACATATTTGTGTTTTTCTTTCTTTTTTAATGAGAACATTTAAGTTCTACTCTCTTAGCAAATTGCAATTAGACAATACAGTCATCAAGCTGTACATTAGATCCTCAGACCTCATGCATCTTATAGCTGAACGTTGGTACACTTTGCCTTATTTTCCCCTCCTTCCAATCCATGGCAATCACTTTTTACTCTCTGTTCTAGGAGTTTGACTTAAAATAAAATTTAAATTCAACATAAAAGGGACACTATGCAGTATTTGTCTTTCTCTATTTAATTTAGCGTAATGTCTCTAACATCCATTACTGTGGTCTCAAATGGAAGGATTTCTGTCTTCCTCATGGATGAATAATATTCTCTGTAAACATATATACCACTATGGAAAAAGTGTGGAGTTTCCTCAAAAAAGAAAAAAAATAGAAGTACCATATAACCCAGCAATCCTGCTTTTGGGTATATATCTGAAGGAAATAAAAACAATATATTGAAGAGAGATCTGTACTCCTATGTTCAATGAACATTGTTCATAATAGCTAAGATATGGAAACAATTTGAGTGTCCACCGATGGATGAATGGATAAAGAAGATATGGTATGTGTATGTATGTGTGCGTATTATATATATATATACACCAAGTAGCTTCTTGAGTAAGGGTAAATGGTAGGTAAAGTTTTGAGATCTTGCATGTCTAAAAATGTTTTTATGGCACTCTCATACTCACTGAATAGTTTGGCTGGGTATAGAATTCTAGGTTGGAAATAATTTTCCTTCCTAATTTTAAGAGTATTATTCCACTCTCTTTGATTTTTAGCGTTACTAATGAAAAATCCAATTCAGTCTTGATTCTGGATCCTTTAAATACATCCTGCCCAGAAGGCATGTAAGATCTCCTTTTTTGCAAGTGTTTTAGTATTTCACTCAATCACCAGTGTGAAGGTTTTCTGTTCATCATGCTGGCACTCGGCAGTCCTTTTTACCGTGACCACTCAGGTCTGGAGCATTGTAACATGATACTTCATAGGAGAAGCCCTCCCAATATTTCCCCATATTCTTTTTGAGGTGTGCCTATTAGTTGGATATTTGATCTCCTGCAAGGGTCATCCAATTTTCCTATATTTTTTGTCTTATTATTCTATTTTGTGGGAGATTTCCACAATTTTTTATCTCCCCCCTGCCTTTTTTTTCTACTGTCTTGTCTTTCATATCTAGGAATTTTTTTTTTCCTGAGGCTGTTCTTATTGATGACTAAAGCACTGAAAGAGATGTATAAGCTTTGTATAAGTGGTGTGAATTTACTGGCTGGTGGTCTCACTTTAGGGAACAAATGGGCAAAGAATCAGTCATTTCATGAACATAAGCCAAAGTTTTTCCTTTCTTCTGTCTCCTATTCTCTCCCTTTTTCTTTTTGGTCAACTAGCTTCCTCACAGCAGCATCTTCTAATCTATTCCCTTCAGGAAAATAAGCCCATCTGTCAGCATTCATTTCACAAACTTTCACTTAATTCCCCTATTTCTGTGTCTAGTAAAGCATTGGCTCCACTCTGAGCTGGTCCAGTATCTCCATAAGTCAGTTTCCTAACATGGAACCTTTAAAGTATCTTTAAGTGCTAATCCCAAGGCTTCAGTAATATATATATATGAGGATGCAAATGCTGGTATTTGACAGGAGTGATGGATTTAGATTCAGACACCAGAAATTTGAGTCCTTGCTCTTCCTAAGCTTGTCCTGGGGGATTAAGTGACACAATGTATTAGAAACACTCTGCAATCTAAAGTGCACTTCACAAGTCTTAGGTATTATTAATAAAAATTGTGACATTTGGGCAGGTATTCAAAACATTACTGAGAGCCACTTTCTTTTCCCAGACTGCTCCACTTGAAATGAAAAGTTAATTTCAATGAATCATGCATAGATATTGACACAGCTAAAATTGCTGCAAGCTGCTGAGGTATTAAACTTTTCCCTAAAACCATGAAAGGCTGGTTAATTTAGTTATCTCATCAACCAAATGACAAAGCAATTTGGGCATCTCAGTGCCCTTTTACTTTTTCATTTAAGAATATTTTTTTATCGAGGTATAATTGACATATAACATTAGTTTCAGGTGTACAACAGAGATTTGATATTAGTATGCAGTGAGAAAGGGCCACCACACTAAGTCTAGTTTCCTCTCAGTGCCCTTTTGGAAAGATAATGGCTCTGGCTTAAAACAAATGAGATTGCTCTTGGCCTTGATGCTTTGTGTGTTCAGCAAACTAAGGCAGGTTTATTGGGTAAGAAAATGAATGGATTGGCAAATGAGGCCTGCCTTTCAGTCTAGCATATCCTTAAAAATAAATTTCTGCAACATATAATCAAGGCTTAAAGCCCTGAATTCTGGCTAAAGGCTACAGCAAGGCAGAGCAATGAACACATTTAGTAATTATATTATTAATCCTATGTCTAATATGTAAATTAACTGCATTTGGATAGGGGAATAATTGCTTTTTAAATTAGTAGATTTCTACATAGATTAATGACACTGTGATTAGATTTTAAAGGTATTCTTTCACATTTTAAGCCTCTCATTTTATACTCTTTTTTTGGTTCAGAATAACATATAAACTGGAGTTTCAAGTAAAAGAATAATTAATGATTTCACTCCATTGATACCTACATTTGCACAAGTTAATTATTCATCACAATATGTGTACATAACCCAGTTCCATAAAATACATTTCTAGATCTCTAAGCAAAACTGAACTGCTGCCCCCCTCTCCTAACTGCCACCTTTTTATAAATGAAGATGAAAATTTTATTTTATTATTAGTATTATTCTTTTAGGAGAGCAAGGCAGAGATTTTTATTTAGAGAAGAAGCGAGAGGACAGAGCTCCTGGCTCACACCAGGAGGGGACAGGAGAGCCCCCCATCCCACTGCCACCTTTCATGGATTATCTGAGAGGAAGGCCTTGCCTTGTTTTGGCTGTGGACATATAAATGCCTCTGGTCCAGTGACTTACTGCAGAAGTAATCTGTTTTCAAGTTCCAGACATGGTTTTTGCATAATTTAGTAGTTGATAATGATAAGTTAGATCAGGAACGTTTCTTCTCTTATTCTATCTGTTTTGTCGATGGGGTAGCCAATAGCCCCATATCGGTACTGAACACTTGAGCTATGGCTCCAAGTGCCATCGACAAACTGATTTTCTAAATTTAAGTAGCCATATGTAGCTTTTGGCAGCTGTATTGGGCAACACTGCTCGGTGTCACAGGGATGCACACGTAAGAAATTCCTCAAAGGGCTGCCTTTCTAAGGGAACAGCTGATACTCTAAGATGGTTTCTGATACATCCTTTGGTACTTAATATGCCTTTTAATATTCTGAAGTATTAAGGATCTGTTCCTAGAAGTGGTTGTATTTTGAGTACGTGTTAAGAACATATACAATAGCTAATAAATAATTTAGTAAGGATTTTAAATATGTTTGAACGTTACTCATGACAATAGTATCTCCATTCTGAGAATAAGTAGTCTAGATGTGTGTAAGATACATTACTGGTTCCATATGTAGATAGGGCTTAGTGCCCGGATGAATGCCAGGAGCCCATGGAATATTTTTGCATTCACAGATTGGAAAACATTGTTCTAGAATTCAGAGATAAGAGATAAATTAAAGAATAACTAAAATGTAAAAACAGTAAGGATGGAAGGCCACAAGTTCTGAGCCTTGGGTGTTCTGTGCGCATTCTTAAGTATGTGACATCTCTGTTCATTATGGCAATTATTGTTTGGCTTCAGATCTTAAACTCCTACTACTTAGGAATCTTTTCCTTTAAGAAGACAAAATGTTTGTTTACTGTTCTTTTAAAACCTAGAAATTTAAAATATAGAGATGTGGTGGTTTGCATTAGAAGTCAGGCCCAGTCATCCATTTCAGAATAACTTGATTATAAACTGATATCCCTTTTTCTTACGTTTCTATTCAGCTTTTTAAAAAAATTGAAGTGTCGTTGATATACAATCTTATGATGGTTTCACGTACACAGCACAGTGGGTCAGCAGTCACCGTATCATCAAGTCCTCACCCCCTCCAGGGCGGTCACAGTCCGTCAGGGTAGTAAGATGTCACAGAGCCATTAACTGTCTTCTCCGGGCTGTACTGCTGTCCCACTGACCCACCTGTATTGTGACTGTGGATTATAGTGCCCCCCAATCCCCTTCTCCCTCCCCACCCACCCCTGCTCCCCAGCCCCTCCCCTTTGGTCACCGCTAGTCCCTTCTCAGTGTCTATGAGTCTGTTCTTTTTGTGTTCCTTCTGTTTTGCTTTGAAAAACTGATATTCTTATTTAATCATTAGATACAAAAGATACAAAAAGATCTCCTTCATGACGTAACTGAGACACCTTCTCCCTTCTTTGCCTTGTCTGTTTCTGTGGGAGGTACTGCGTTCCCCAGCCAGGAGCAAAGGCTAAGTGTAGGGCTGTGCAGGGGTCTCCCCCAACTCCCACTGCTCCCCTCAAGCCACAGTCTGAATTAGAATGAGGTGCTTGTTACTACAGCACGAAGACCAGTCGCCCAGCACCCCAGATCACTGCCCCAAACCCCTGCGGTTCAGAGCTCTGGATCTCCCACTGCTCAGCAGGACAGGAAGGAGCCTTAGACGTGTAATTACTGTGCCCATAACTAACACCAGCCTCACGGGATGGATCTAGAGGAGACTCTATTTTGTGACTCTTCAGCAACCCGATTCTTGGATGGTTCTACTCCCCAAAGACATGGATGGCAATAGCAGAAGCGCTCTTTTCAGTCTTGAAGCAAATCCTGAGTTACTAAAAAGAAAATGGAATGCTAAGCAACCTATATATCATGCACTAGCTTCAAACAATACACTAATTATTTCATGTTCTTAAACATGATTGGATTCCATAATTCTCCCAGCTCTTAAAATAGGCTAACTATTTCAACTTACTGCTCTAGATGGCATTAAAAGCAATTCCACGGGCACTAAACCTTGACTTGCTAAACAAGTATGTAGTTCTCCTGAACAGTGACATACACGTGGCTGGAGAAAGTAATTGTAATGCAGGGAACAATGCCATGTTCTGTCCCAGCCCTTAATGATCAATTACGGTTCACCCAGGAATTCCTAAGACCTTTTAGGTCATCCCAGGAGTGGCACAACGGCTAACCTCTGCATGGCCTTGCTGGCACGGTTGATTAATCTAAACAGTGCATGGACCATTGGCTGAAAATACCTATTTTTCTGTCTGGGAGGGGGGAACACTTGTCCAAATCCAAGTCGTCTGTACATGAAGTTCCTGCCTCATTTTTGGAAACAAAGCAGAGCAGTAGCTGTGCTAAGCAAGGAAGCCTGGATGATGGGCCGGCGGGCACGGCAGGCCAGAGGCTCCGTCTACCTGCGCTGCTGACACTTACCTGAATGAGGTTGGCAGCGGGATTTCTTCTTTTCTCAAAGTGTTTTTGGCGGTGCTGTTCTTGTACTTTTAAAGCAAAGCCTGAGCCAAGAATGCCCTGGAAAAAAATACACAAATAGTCCTTAAGAATTTGTTTTTTCAAAAGCTCGTTAAATAATACACATATTGCTTAAAAACCTTCTAAAGTGAGTCTGAGAAAAGACCAACAGTATGCAACCTGTGCATAAGCACATTACTTACTAAAACGTAACACTATTTGCCTCTATGATGGTACCATTGGCCAATGGCCAGTTTTTGGGCAAGACTGCTGGGATGTGTAACAACTTTTGATCTTTAGTGAATCAACCAGGCATCGACATTTATTATCTGCTATGGCAAGAGGCATCATAATTACCAAAACAAAAAAAAAAATCCACAACTTTTAAAAGTGTTTTTTGGGCAGCTTTCTTTTCTCTGACATTTCTTTATGCTTAAATTACAGGAATGGTCTTACCTAGTGAAGGAGTTTAGAGGACAGGAATTCTGGTTTTGGGCAGAGGTGGATTTAAAATTTGAGACAGTGAAGGCCTTGCTGCTGCGGACATGGGAGTTTTTCTAAAGCTTTGATGAAACCACTAAATTTTGTATTTTCCAGTCATGAAATGGTGGTGGGGGTAATGTTTAAAATCGGTGCCACGATTTAAAAATCCTCCATGGTACTCTAATTCTCCACCCACCAAAGTAAAGTGAAAGGAGGAGAGGACAGTGACCCTGAGGAGGCAGACACGCGGTTCCGTTTCGCCTGTTTGCACGGTGAAGACCGGACGGAGCATGGGTGACTGCAAAGCGCATGCCCGCTTGCCCGCGTTGTCCTCATGCTTGGGGCACCCTTACCCTTTCGGTTCGGCTCGCCTATTTAGATCCTGGGGTCAGTAAGATTAGTATGTCCCTCCTCTGTTTATATCAGTTTTTTGGCTGGCTTGCTTCTTTCTGCTTATCATCTGGATCTGCCAAAATTCTGGCTCTTTGAAATACTCCCCCTCTCTTCGGCTTGCTTTGGTCTAACATTCCTGGAATCAAGATGCTTTGTTTCTGCTTTGGGCTGGCTTTTGGGACTCGCTAAATCCAGTCTCTGGGCTTTGTCTGTAAGTCTCCATTTTACTGGCATGGGACGTGGTGCTCACGGCGCTCCAGTCTGTGAGGTTTGCTTGCTAGCTATAAATTATTAGCTTTTATTAAACGTCAGGGAGTTTAACCCTTAGCTTAGAGAAGGGGGTCTTATAAGCCCTAAGTCAATTTTTGCTATAGGTAGGGAATGATTGTTTTTCTTTTCTTTATATTTTGGAAGTAGCTCAAAGAAGGTGTAGGCTGTCTGGGAAGTGGTGAGTTTCTCATCTTTAGGAGGCGTATTAAGTCTCGCCTGGATGACAAATTGGCTAAGATATTTTTGGGCTCCAGACAAGCTTTAACCTTCCTTCTTATCTTGAGATGCCACAATTCCGAGCACATCTGTGACAATGACCAGATAATCAGTAATGTAATTGTGTTTAAAATACAGTTACTGTACTACTATTTGCTATGAATGTGCAATTAGTAGGATAAATGACTGTATCACGACACCAGAAATCACACCCCAGGCTCTGCTTCCCATCTCTTTCTCAGGGAGTGTCTCAGGCTGCCTGAGGTCGCCGTCTCCCCCAGGTTGAGTGCATAAACTAAATTTCATAAACCCCACTCTGTCTGATTCGTTTGCAGAGTTAAGCAGCCTTTCCCTCCATGTAGAGATTATAAAAATGGCGCTACATTTCCAAACTCACATCAAGTCCAGGCATTTGTAACTCCTAAATTTTTTCCTGCCATCTAAGATCATTTAGGAAAGTTTTATTTATATTCCTTTCAATGTCCCTTTTCATGAAGCATAAACATAGAAGAGAATTTGAAACAGAATTTATAGCCTATACTTTTACTGTGTAATATGTGTACATACATTATAGGCATATTATATATAACCCACTCATATGGAGCATAATTCAGATTTGTAGACAGTGAATTAACAACAATGAACAGCTATCATTTTAAAGCATTTATTACATGAGTATGAGGTCCAGAGTTAAATTCCTTTTGGAAAATGAAGCAGGCCCTACATAGCACAGACTTAGCATCCGCAAATAAACTGAAGTGTGCTGAAAATCATACTGGCATTGTTTAGAAGCATGTAGTAGTAGATGGCAAATGTTTACTACATATATCTTGTGCCAGACTGTACATTATAACAGTTATTAAACCAGGTCTGCTTATCGTCTCCGTTTGGCTCCATTCCAATTTTCTTCCACTTCTTTTAGTGTACAGCTCACGGAACCTAAATAGAAGTCTGTTGAAATAAAGTCTACTATGATAATATATGTATCTCTCAATATCACATGTTATATATGTATGCATGTTATATATATCATGTACATGTTTTATGTATATCTCTATTATCTCATGTGCCATCCCTTCAACTATTAACACCAAAAAATTCTTAGGAATTGAGTTTCGTGCTAATTCATTTGTAAGATCACATGATGTAAGCTTTCAGGTTTTTAGTTGCAGGGCTGTGCTGAGAAGCACTACGTACGCACCAAGTAGAGAGAAAACCTGTTTGGTCAACATTTTAAATATCCTTTCCTCACTATCTTCCTGATGAAAGGGGCCTGATTTGCACCCCGCACATGGCAGCCCTGCTTGTCTGAAGACACTCTCAGCAGGAGGGGAGGCAGCGTCCTAAGGAGGAGAAGGGGCCACGGGGGGAGGCTGAGGAGCCCACAGACTCTGCAGGCTCAGAGCCCCAGGGCCCCAGGCCCTGGGCAGTGACTGTGGGGGCTGGGGCGCGTGGCCTGCGTGACTCTGTCATTTGCAGGACAGCCCCTCTGCTTGGAGGGAAGATGGGCAAAGCTGCTATCCTTCTTGGTCCCTGGGCTTCCTGGGAAGGAGGAACCCCAAACAGTGGTCTGCAATCCACCTCTGCCTTTCTTAGCAAAATGTCAAGGCACCCTCCCTCCTAAATCTCAATCAGAGAATGCTGTCAGCCGACAGGCACACATAACATAATGGCGTTTCCAGCCACCTTGCTTTTTGTTTCCTTGTTTTAAGTTATTTTTGGACCATTCAGTCTTTCATTCAGTAAGAACTCAGTACCCAACGTGAGGCGGTAGTAAAAAGATCCATGGTGAACTCTACTTATCTGGACATTGCTAGGATATGTTCTGTTCTGTGCAAGCAAATTCTTCAGATTTTCAGCACATTAGTTTAATTTGTATATAAAAGTTGTAATCACTTTATTAGGAAACATTTCCAAGGATGACTACTTAGTCTCAGACCTTGATTCTGACTAACAGAGTGGCACGATTTAACCTCCCCTTGAAGGCCTAGAGGTTCATCATGGAGACCGTGCTGGCCGCACAGAGATGCAGTGACCCTAACACTACCTGGTCCCAGGTCTTCACAGATTTCAAACACTTATGCCGGCTTGTTTCTTACAGACTTTGTTTCCCCTTGTTTGTCCTCCACCGTGTCTTCCTGTCACGGTGTTTGTCCATCAGCCTGCTTATAATCTCTATTTGCTGTTTAAAATTTTCAGAGACCAGTGAAACGGTGTAGCTCAGCTCATCAGAATTTCCTCCAAATTAAGAGCAGGTCATGGACTAGGTCTCGAGAAGCTGTCTTGGAAGGACAGATGGGCACATACTCTGCTGTCAGTGTCAACAGCCCAGGAGTTGTCCACTTTGCTGTTGGTAGGTTTATACTGGAGCACAGAGGTTGATATATATATATATGTGGCCTCAGGATAAGCACTATAAATACAGAAGCAGTCAGTGTTTTGTGCTATTGTTTTGGGAAAAAGCCCAAGAACTGCATTTGGTTATATCTAAAGGTATTTTCCTCTACAGAATCTGGTCCCCAAGTGTGTCTCTGGCCAGGACTGTGGAGCTGGCCAGGTGAATGAATTCTGGATGCGTGAGGTGCAGCTCGAACTCTCTTGGTTTCGTCGCCCTCAGCAGGCAGCTCATGCCTGGGTCAGCCCACGATGGGAGTGAGCCTTCCTCAGGGCCAGCCCTCGGCTCACACAGCCACACTGTGTTCACAACATTTCTCTGGATGCAACAGTGCGTCCTCTATCACACCGACAAGGAATGCATCTGGGTCACTGTTACAGAATGATTACGTGCCTCCAAAATGCCTGTGTTGCAGTACTAATCCCCAGTACCTCAGATTGTGCCCTTATTTGGGGACACGGTGTTTACAGGGGTAAGCAAGGTACAGTGAGGTCACCAAGGGGACCCTAATCCCGTAAGACTCCTGACAAGATGCTGTGAACAGAGGAAAGGTGGCGTGGTGACCAGGGAGAAGGGGGCCACCGTGAGCCCAGGAGCTGGGCGGGGAGCAGAGCCTTCCCTCATGGCCCTTGGAGGGGACCAGTCCCACAGCTCCTTGATTTTGTACCTCTGGCCCCCAGAGCTGTGGGACAATACATTTCTGTTGTTTAGGCCGCTGGGTCTGTAATGCCTTGTTACAGCCGCCCTGGCAAACAGTCACATAGGCAGCTTGTGTCAGAAACAGGGAGCACAGCTTTAAATTCACACTGCGGTCTAACGCTCGAGCTTACGCATGGTCTTTGCAGTCCCTGTGGTTTTGTGTGGCCTGGGAGAGACCAGCTGGCTGATCCAGAGCTGGGCACTGGAAGGACAAGGGTGACCGCTGGGCTCATTCACACGTAGTGGAGGCTCCCTGCAAGCTAAAGGCTGTGCAGCTAAAACCCCCAGCCCCATCGCTTCCTTTGGAGGGGCGCTCAGGGCCCTCTGCTCCGGGAGGCTGTCACGGAGTCAGCCTGCGTGAGGTGTCAGGCCGAGGCTACTGCTCCTGAAGGGTGACCTGCCCCTGCTTTGACACACCCGTGTGGTGGCTCTCTCCCACCCCCGAGAGGTGGTGATCACTGGTGAGAGTTTGGAGATGGAGGTGAACTGTGATATTTTAACCAACTGCCTTTAAAGAAACGGGATAAAATGATCAGAAAGCAAGCTTTGTCCATTAAGGAGAGAATAATCAGAAGCTTGGGAGAAGATTAAATGTGCTCTCCATTCGGATAAGATGGAGAAACTGCTCATTAAGAAAAATCAATGACGATGACAGGAAGAATAAATCATCTGGCACATTCAAAACCCTTGAAGGTCATACGCTTTTCACTCAAATGGCTCTGAAGAGGCCAATATCCCACTCGGGCACGCCCATCTCTTCAGCCGTGCACACTGTAAGCCAAACTGGAGTGATGCATCCAAAAGCAAGGTATCTTTCCATCTTTACACCTATGTTAAATGGACTAGCAGCATGTTGACTGAGAGTTGATGCCATCGGAATTATCATTTGTCATAAAGACCCAGCTGGTATAAAGCTCTCAGGTTAAGCATCACCAAAGGAAGACCATATTTTATAACATTTCTGACTAGATATACGGAGAAAAGTTAACACTGTCAGAAATATTGTATTTGTAAGTGATGTAGATATCTTGCCAGGCATACCAATTTGTGGAAATTCACACTAATAAAGCTCTGAGATCAAATTTAAATTGCTTTCCCTTGCGAAGATACTCACGGCAGGAAGTGCAAAGAAAGAAATGCCCAGCAGCGCGAAGCCTGCAGAAAGCAGCCTTCCCAGCCAGGTCAGGGGCGTTTTGTCTCCATAGCCAATCGTGGTCAATGTAATCTAAAAAGAAAATAAATAGAACGTGCAGCTTAAGTACTTGAGAGGAAAGTTAGGACCTATCAACAGGAGACAGGGCAACGTTCCCATTAAATCATTATTCAACAAGCCTCGACGGCACATTTTATTGCTGTGCTTTAATTTTCCATGACGCAGAACAGAGCTTCTCTTTGTTTAAGGAAGGGGGTAACCTACATACTTGTTCCTCCCTTATAACACAGTTTTCCATCTTTTCTAAGTGTATTCAAAGAAAGGTTATTTAAGTAAGTGGATAGCCATCAGTGGTACAGAAACGACAGCACCATGGATTTCGGACTGGCTTAGTACACAAAACAATAATTTTTGTTAATTAAGGCTGTCCATTTCTTAGCTTGGCAGGCATTTCCTGAAGATCTGGTGTGTGCAAGGTACGTGTTATGATTTGTAGTGGAATAAAAAATGATAGGTACATAGTTCTTGGACTAAGATATTTATGGCATAAGGAAAGAGACATGTCCCACGTAATTAGAACACAAAATAGAGCAAGACAGGCATTATGATGGTTGCACAATAATCTGCTATGGGAATTCAAAGAACAGATGGGCCACTATCAGCTTGGGGGGCTGAGGAGGCTGTATTAGGGAGACATCACCAGCACTAGGTTTTGAGGGGGGGATAATACTTTGAGAGGCAGAAGTGATAAAGAGGGTGACCTAGGGAGGGGGTGCAGGATGAGTCTTGCAGCAGTGAGAACAGATAGGACGGGTTCTGGAAGCACGGTGGGCGGGCTGGAGCACGGTGGGTCTGGGGAGGATTGGTGGGTCACTGAAACAGGAAGGTGATGAGACACTCATAGCTAGGTCGGGGTGCCTTTGAAAAATGCAATTGGCTCACGGCTCTCCTATGGTCAGGCTGCTCCAGGACGTCCCCCTGTCCCCTTAGAACAAAGCCCCAGCCCCTCTCCAGGACTCCTGCGGTTCTATGTGACTGGCAGAGTGACAGGGCAATGGAGTTGGAACAGCAGCAAGGGGACCGTACGGAGCGGACAGCAAAGAGGTGCGTTAGGAAGCTCAATAACGCCTTCATTAATAGTCTGGGATGAAGGGGAAGACTAAGTCTCATGGACTTGGACATTGCAAGGGGAAGATGGTTGCCTCATAAATAAAAAGACGTTAATGAGAAAGAGAAGGCTTTGGAGCAAAGATGAAGAGTTTGCTTTTGAAAATAAGCATTTAAAAAATGTCAATATGACTGATCTAGAAACGCTGAGCAGCAGACTTTATTGCTAAACAATGCTAACCATCTCCTGAGCCTTCAGCAAGAGGCAGCCACTGCTCACAGGTCCCCACAGCAAATCCAGTAATAATGAGGACATTTGGAATATTGTGAGGATCGCAAACACTGGGGGACTTGCCAACGACTTGCCCGATGCACAGTGGCCACAACCTTCAATTTGTGGAAAACATAGTATCTGCCAAGCACAGTAAGATGAAGTCCGCCTATAAATTCTAAGCTCCTAACCCATGGCGTACATGGTCCAGGCCCCTCCTCCCTCCAAGGTCACCCTGCCCTCGCCCTGGGCTTTAACCAGCATCCTTGCAGCTCCTCAGACGGGCCAGGCTCTTGCTGCGGGAGGCCGCTGCACACCCAGTGTCCTCGGCCAGAATTGCCCTTCTCTCCCCGCCCGGGGCTCCTCCTCCGTCTTCGGGTCTCATCTGAGTGCCCAGTTGGCAGGCAGACCCCCCTACCCACCCTGTCTGCAACAGGGCCTCTGGTCACCTTCCGCTCAGCAACTTGTTTCTTAAGTGCACTTAGGACAAGCAGTACTTTTCCATGCTCTTCTTCGGGGATGGGTCTCTGTGTCCTCTACGAGAAGGGGGAACGATGCCTTTACTCTCTCACCTCCAGCATGATGCTTGCAGAAAGCAGGAGAAACTCAATAGATATTTAGTAAATAAACGAGAAATCCTTTCAAGAACATTGGCAACAAATGGAGTGAGAAAAATAGAGCAAGAACTCCCAGAAGTCGCTGACTTGAGGGGAGGCGTTGGAGGCTGCATTTGTGCCTGTTTGTGGAGAGTGAGCACCGAGAGGGGTGCGGAGGCCGGGGAAGCAGGGCTGGGGGCGCAGCTGGAAGGGTCAGCCTCACACGTGAAAGAGCAGGAGAGGCTTGGGGCTGTGAGGTGCTGGAGGGGCTGAGCGCCAGCAGCCGGAGGCCCGCAGGGAGAGGCCCCCTGGGGACCGGGGGAGGGAAACCCTTAGTAGACTGACTGCCCATCACTAGCAGCGTCGCAGCAGGCTCTCCAAGGAGCTCCAGAGATTGCAGGAAAAATATTCCGGCTCCATTTTATTACATGTTCCTAACCTTCAATATGTGGGAATGATTTTAATCTGTACTCTTTCTGCAAAATAACCTAATCTGTTTATGGCAGTTTATTAACAATAATGAAACAAAGGAGAAATTTCATGGTGTGGTCACAGCAGTAGCACAGTAGCACTGCCCTTCCCGATGAGCGTGACATTCTGGTAACACCCTGCAGCCGTCCCCCAGCCCCACCGCTGAGGGTGGGCTTTAGGGCAAGGCGGCCGGGTGCCGGGTTTTGGTCTGGGCAGAGAAGAATGCCCGCTCTGGCGCAGGACCCAGGCGTCCCCTCCTCTCATGTCCGTGGTCTGTCGCACAGAGGCCACGACCTCTGAGAGCAGCCCCGAGCCCCTGGCACGCCGGCCTTCTCCCTGCGCTCGGCTTCAGGCTACTGGGTGGGCAGCTGTGGCCCGGGGATTGGGGCGACCAGCGGCAGGGCCCGGCCGCACCACCTCCCCACTCCGATTTCAGAGTCGCTCTGGGTGTCACCTGGTTGAAAGCGAGGGGCCTCTGTTCCCAGGTTTGTCGCTCTCCCTGCTGGGCAGCAGGCTCGTGGCAGACTCCACTGTTTATGCCTTCAGGGAGCGTCATTTCTCTGTGGCTGCAAAACGCGACATCTGGGCTTCCCTACGGGAACAGAGAGGGAGCACCAGAGAGGAAACCGTGCATTTCTAAGGTGCACTTAGAGTGAAAAGGTGGGCGCCTTCTCCACAGATTCACACTGACCCCCCTGCTTGATCTGGCTGCCTGCGTTCCCAGGTGGTGACCAGCTGCTTCATAAGCCCTCCTCGGAGGAGCTCGCTCAGGTGTTCACCGATTCTCTGCACCTTCAGGTCAAGCTGTCCTCGAAGAGCCCGTGTGGCCTTGGGAACCGGACAACCACAGCGTTTCTTTTTTCCAAGCGCCTGTAGCACCCTGCAAATGTGCATCAGCTGGTCCTTCGCAGGCACCCCGGGGGCAGAAGCTCTTTTTGGTGCTTATTCTTCCACACTGGCACTCAGCGAAGCCTTTCCTGTCTTCCAGAAATCTTGTAACTCTTCAGTGGCTGAACCCAGGAACGACTAGCTTCATCGGGATCTCAAGCTAGAGAAAGGTAGGGACCCCGAAGACACCAGCTTCCAGGGCTGCTCCTGGAGAAGCGGTTTGTTCCGTGCAAACCTGAGGCAGTCAGGCTGGGAAGAAATCCACCAGACTGGGCATGACCCCACGTCTGGCCTACCTTCGCTTATGAGTGCTGCGTTGGTCCACGTAGGCAGGACAGATTAACTTTTTACCTTTATTTATGCATGTATTTATTTATGTATTGTTGATTTCTACTTATTAACTTTTGACTATGGCGTTTACAATATCACTGGAGAGGTCCTGAAAGGTTTGAATTTACTTTTAAAAATTAAAAGATAAATTAAAAAATTTCCAAATCTCTTTTGGTGCACTTGTAGCAGAGTGATACTTCGTTAAGTGAGAGGAGGCCATTTCTAAGCACACTTTCTGACCTGCGGTGGAGGCTGGGAGATGTCTTCTCAGGTGTGGCCTGGCAAGGCCCACCAGGACCCGAGTGGGACAGGCTCTGTGACCTGTCGCTGTTCCCCAGGCGGCCTCATGGGTGCCGGAAGCGTGTGCCAGCCATCCAGTTGGCACATTTACTTGAAGGTGATTTGGCAGATGCGAGCAGCTCAGATACATTTTTGCCCACATATTTCATATGCTCAGCTGTAGTCATGCAGGTGTGGAGAGATATTTTCTGCAAATCTGAGGGTTGCAAATGTTGGTGTAAAGGCATACTTGTGGTAGCAAAATCTGAGGTTGACTGGGGGCACCTTACTATGTTTAGCAACCCAGAATTCTTCCTCATGAATAATATTGCTCTATTTTTCTCTTTTCTTCTGTCTGGGCTACTTTCTGAGCACCTAGTTTCAGGTAATCAGTAGTTATAGAACCTGTAGAGTTAATTCTGAAATTTGGTTATCTTGCATGAGTAGATGAGACAGGTGTTCAGTCTGCAGACCTCAGAGGCTCCCATGGGGGTGGCATCACATAATGTGGGTTCTGCTGTGGCAGGTAGTCAGGGCGTTAGCATGCCCTATTGTCCTTCCAGGCTCTTTGGCCAAATATGGAATAACAGCAGTGACTAACATTTGTCTAGTGCTTGATAGGGTACACCTACATGTCCTGATCTCATTTAGTACACACAACAACTTAGTGTTTAGTTACCCAAACAATTTTATAGAGACATTAAATGATTGGTGAATATCACAGCTCTATTCGGTCATAATGATGGGGCTGGAGAAGAAGTCTCCTGACTCTAGTTCTTTGGTTCTTTTCCATATGCCCTGTGCTCAGCTCTTATGGGATAATACCAAGCCAGAGTGTCTGGGGCAGCATGTGAAATGACATGATTAAAGGAACAGACGTCTTCAGAAAGCTTCCTCGCAGAGGCTTATGACCAATTCACTTCATTAGTGCATGCCGTTAAGCAGGGCGCAGGAGTTTTGCTTGGTCCTTGATAATGTTCTTAATTGTTAGGAACTGGTGTGTTGATGATCTTATGGCCAAGTAAAGCTTTGATATCCTAAGGTAATGCATTGATAGTAAGAAAGAGCTGTTAACTTTTATTTAATATACCAGCACTGAGTCAGAAGACAACAACTTGTAAGAAGTTGCAGAAAACATTTTGTACCAATGTAATGAGGCTGATTCTCGAAATTTTAAGTGGTATTATCAAGGACAAGGGTACTTTTATTCTTCTGACACATTTATGCCATTTCTTGTTCTTCGATTTTGTAGGGGTGACTCTAGTGGCACATATTTGGGCTGTACAACCTGTTGCATGCACAGCGCTCTACATGGTACATTGAACCTTCATATTGTCTGCTTTGACAAAGGCTATAGGATTTTCAGCATGCATTCCAGCACTCAGTGGCTGGTATAAAATCCTTCTACATGCCTGCAGTAATCATCCCAAGCTCATGGTCATATTCAGATGCTTACTCAAAGTAGATTTGTACCATCTGCTGCTGTATGCATCTTAGAAAAAAAAGCCACACACTATCTTCAGCACAGGGATAGCAGTAAATACAAAGAGGACAACTGGCCGTTACCAGGAAAAGTTACTTTGGGAAGACTTGATCTTAACTTATTTTAGAATAAATATAAAGCAAATCAAAAGGTGAAAAACTATTACAAGGAAGAAAGAGATATTAGAAAATAACTCCAGGAAAACATGTTCTTCAATTATTTTAGGACGAATCTAAAGCAACTAATAGGGAGGAAAATAAGCACAGGAAGGAACATTAAATGGATCTCTACCAGCAGTCAGAAGACCCGCTTTTCCTGAGCCACCAGTGCTTTGGCTACGAGTTACCTCCCCTCCGCCGGCCCCGTGTCGCCTGTCATCAGCACTTCTTTAGCTGCTACTTCAGAAGGCAGAGCATCTTGTCACTGGAGCCCCCAGTTCCCAAGCCCCCTCTGTGCTCAAGCTGTGGGTCTGCCATGAAGTGTATCGGTCTTTGTTCCTTTTGTTACGAAGGTGCTTCCATCCATTACCCACAATAGGAACGTCACACCAACGCAGCCGTGCCTTTGATGGGGCACGTGCTCTGGTGTGAGGGCCAGGCCCTTTATTTCAGTTATCCCCTCACTCAGTGAGCTCAGTATTGCTATTCACTAGTATTGAACTGTTTTTAGCTTGAATTGTTATTAACTTTGAGCATGTTGATCACACCACAAATCCTTCCAAAAGCTGGTTTTAGGGACAGCCCTCAGGATCTTCTTAATGGAAGGAGTTTATAGTTAGTATTTAGAATTCACTAGGATACAGTATCCACAGACCACAAATTGTACTTTGATTCTTAATATCAATACTTTGGACTTTTTAATAAAGGGGATTTCCTTTTTCCATCAAAGCCTAGCACTTCAAAACATATGAATGTCGGGTGCTTTTATTTCCCTATTTATTCTGGATACTTTCATAGTTAGCAAGGTGTCCATTATGTAAAACATGGACATGTTTACCTTTAAAGTATCCAGCTGAATATTCCATGAAGGTCTTGACTAACATATAAAAGGTATAGTGTTCTAACCTCACTGGAGATATGGTATATGCTCTTCTTGTAAAGACTAGAAATAAGGAACCCTCTTTGTTTTTCTGTGTCTTTTCAGGCTTCAGACAATTTAATTAATGAGTCAGATAATATCACCAACCCACTGTGGACCCACAAGGCCTTTTCCTAGAAGCTCAACATAGGCTATTTTTATTGTATTTGGGACCAAATTAAAAAAAAAAATACAATTAGGTTATTCAAAGAACCTGTTAAATACAGGTTAAACTTGAGTCAAAACAGCACTATTGAAATGGAAATCAATGAAAATACATTGCTTTCCCCTTAAAGTCACAGATATGACCTTTGAAAACCTGCCACGTGGGTTATTCTTACAAAAGACACAAGCTGATGACTAAGTGAGAGGTATATTAAGAGTTTCCCACACACTGTTTAACACACAATACAGCAATTCTTATTAGGAATGAGGAGAAAAAGGGATGGGTAGAAAGGAGGATTCAGAACTGCCAGGTTGAACCCAGCAACCCCTGCATCTCGGTACGAGAAGGTGCACACGACCGTCTCAAAGAGGGTTAGGACCACCAGAAAGAGAAAAAACTGAACTTCAGTTCAGATCGCTGCATTGAAGCCTGGGATGATAAACTGTTTCCCCCTTGCTGCTACAGCAATCTCCTGCTTTCTCCCTTTACACAGCTTATACCACCATGAGTCATAGGTTTCCATTTGCTCTCCACAGATAAGAAGTATTTTAAGAACGTCAGATCACTGCTCTCTCTCAGGTTCCCCACTTCCTCCCTTTTCATGTCCATTATTATTTGTGGGGGCGGGAGAAGGACTTGAAACCAAATAATAGCCAACTGAATGCTTTGTTATCAATGGTATACTCTTGTAGACATTTACTCTGATAATTTAAGAAACAAATCCTAATCTTCAGGTGCGTATATTTCGGATTCTTATTCATTTTATTGCTGCTGTGTAATGAACAAACTTACCAAGTTCTGCTTAATACAAGCGCTGATTCTTTGTCCTTGACAAGAGTTCTACTCAGTGATGAGCTTTTGATGAACAGTGGAACAACAGAAACACTTGGTAACTTAACTCTGTGCTCCACAAAACAAACAACTTATCAATGCTTTCATCAGTTTAAGAAAATGATTTACTCTTATTTTGGCAGCAATCTAGCACTCAAGAAATATTGCTGCTGATTTATGAGATAACTCTGTTGGACCAAAGAGATGGGGAAACTGTTTAGACAATTAAAAATGTTGTATATTTTCACAGAGCACACTTTTGGAATGTCTCAAGGAATCAAATAAAAAAGAAATGTAGTTTGTATATTACATAAAGCACTCCCCTAGCCCGTGATATTCTTCCTACAGCACATGTTTCAAGGACTATTCTATAAACTTTTTACAATGTACAGATAATTTTTGCTTTAATGGAAAACTACGCCTTGTTCAGAGTACACACTTTCAGGTTACTGAATTCTGATTTTATAGGGCTCTGCACCTTTCATGGCCTTTGAGCTATTTTACAACTCTGTAAGTTGTAGATGACTGGTAGCAGTGCAAAATAATTCTTGTCTGTAGATGTGTAAATAAATTCCATCTAGTGGAGGCTTAGTTGGGCTCCATCTCCTACTATGGAAGAAGCCAGTTTTACCTCTACTTGCACATTCATTTCAATAGCCCCAATCTTTATCTGTTTGTGTTCTTTGGTTAGGTCCTTTGAACTGGTTGTAATGTCTTATTGGTTCCCTCATTAATAATGACTTGAAAAAAAAGTTAAAATACTTAGTATGTGTTTCTTTTCTATCAGCATGAGTCATGACTTTATTTACGTTTGTTTGGAAAACTATCCTTTAACAACAATATAAAGAAAAAGTATGTTTTGAATGTAAAGTTTTGAAATTAGATGTCTATAATCTCTGATCTTATAAGTGGTTACCAGTGTTTCTTTTTCACTTTTTGTGCCATAATTTACCCTTGTAACTTTTGATCCATTACTATTCCTTTTTAAAAACCTCATAAACTTTTTGATGAGTCACAAACCAGTGTGACATTTGGTAATTAAATCTGTGTTCCACAAAGTTAAAACAAACAAACAGGCCTATCAACATTTTAATAAGTTTAAAAAAATAATGTATTTTTATTTTGGCAACAATCTACACTCAAGAAATACTACTGGTGATTTATAAGAGAACTTACCTTTGTTGAAACAAAGAGATGGATTAACTCTTTGGACAATTTTAGTGGGTGTACTTTCACATAACTCCCCCTTGGAAGTTAATATTTTTATTGAGACCATTCATAAATGATCTAAAGGGACCATTACACTGTATTCACAGGGAACATTTCACAACATTCAGTAAATAAAAACATTTTTATACTTACCGTGCCCCACCAGAGAGCATCTGCATATGTAGAAAACTCTTTATTGGCATCCTTTTCCACCAGATAGACAAGGAAAGATGAAAAAATAAGAACCAGAAATCCTATGTACCAAGCTGTGATTAATTCCTAGATACAAAAATGAATGAAAGATTGTTAGAGGGGAAAAAATCCTAAGGGAAAAACAAAAATCTATGCATATTTTTATTCATTTAACTACATTTCTTGGATGTTTACGATAACTTTTAAATAATCTACTATATATTTTGTCCCCAAATTGCTTCAGCAAAGTTTTGAGATGACTAACTTTGCTTGATAGGTTTATCAAAGATCACAACAATCAATGAAAATGTTTAAAAACTCTTGTTGTATATTTCAGAAAGAAAATGTTACCTTGCTGTGAGCATAAACTACGGAACCTAGTAATTTCCAGGTGCCTCCCCTGCGGTCCATGCGCACCATACGGAGGATCTGTAGGAAACGGAGACTTCTGAGTGCCGATGTGGCAAAAATGTTACCCTGAGTTTTTGCAGAAACAACTGCTATTGAAGCGATAAGAACAATGGTATCTGAAAGAAACAGGTTGAAACAGCCGTAAGTAGCATGACTAGGAATTTTTGTTTCTTCAAACAGTGTTTCAGAAAGGTTCCCAAACAAACAGATGTTGAACCCCAGCTTGGACTTGTGATACTTGGAAATAATTGAAGAATAAAAGGGCAGAGAGCAGGCTTTACCTTCTGCCTGAGTCCTGGCCCCTCGGCCATTCTGTACAACACCTGGGCCATTTTGAAACCACTTGCTATTTAGCCGTCATTGAATTGGACAACGGCCTTCAGAAAGTTCAGTGTTCCCGGGAGGAGCAGGGCTCTGGGCCGCCTTCCACACCTCTGGTCCCATCAGCATCCCTCTGGTAGAAGGGAGCTCCTGCCTCAGCCCTAACACTGGCTTTCTGGTGGATGCCACACAGGCCTCATCATAGCCTGTCCAGCTAGGAAAGTGCTGCTGGGTATAATCATGTCTCTTGTTTTCTTGCCAAACCCGTTTGTAGCTCCTTTCTGCAAAAAATTCCCTATTGTTGTGGAGTCTGCAACTTCACATGCTGTGTTAACAAAGGCCTCAACTAAGCTGAATATGTACATATTGTCCTCTTTATGCCTGGTCAGTCAGTTATGTGTATGTTTGGCACACAAGTGAAATAATATTTCAATTGTTACAACAAAGCATATAGTTACACACACTGTGCATTGCATGAGAATGGTTATTTAATGTCTGACATTGACATTTGACTTAAAAAATTCAACCCTTTTATAAGCTAAAAAGACAAAGAGCAACTAATGGAAGCATAGAAAGATAAAAGAGGACTTAATTGCTCCCAGGGTAAATATCTGAGGAATGAGAAGAAGGCTTTGAGGTGTGAGAAGTGAAGTGGGAGCAATGGCCTCCTATGGCAATTTTAAAACAAGTTAGCTTGATCTTAACATGTTCAAATAAAATTTCTTTCCTATTCAAAGTGGACTGTACATGGCTGGGCATCCATACTCCCCAGATCATGAAATTTCACTTCAAGGGTGTTGCATTTATAATGTTTTTGTGACCCTCAGGACTAGCTGTTACATGAATGTGTATTCTTTGTCAGCCTCATCAGCCTCTCTGCACTGAGGAAGTTCCAGTCTGCTGTGCACCGAGCAGATGTTTTGAGTCAATCTCCTGGTGCCCCTTTCGGGTTAGTACTGGGAGAGAGTGAGGGTCAGTGGTTGGCAGGACAAGGGTCAGCCAAAGGGCTTTTTCCCAGTCGGATCTGAATGCTATGACTTTGTGGGTAGGGACATAGAAAGAGAGCCACAAATGCATCCTTGAGTTACCTCTCTCTGCACCTGTTGGAAATGAGAAGAATTAAATATGTTGACCCAGATACCAAAGTCATATTTTAGGTGAATAAAAGGTCAGTTACAGAGGAGTATGTATGATGTGATCTTATTTTAATAAAATGAGTATTACATGACTAGGAAAAACATGTGAGACTATACACATATTATTAATGAATGTTTATAATTTCATTACAGATATTTATAACAATGAAAATGTCTTTTGAAATCAGAAAAAAACTTTAAAAGAGAGTTAAGTGTAGAAACATCCTTTGGTTTTCATCAGTTGGAGGAATTTACTCCTGAAACAAGTGCGTTGTAGTCAGAGACATTTCCTATGGCAATGTTGGATACATATCTGTTTTTATTTCTCATTGTAACCCTGCTGCCTACCAAGTATGCAAAAAAAAGTAAAGTATAAAACCCCATTTACTATGTTAAAATATTAGAAATAGAAATAATTAAATGATTAGTATAGGTGCAAAAAACACAGCACTTAAAACTTCCTGTGTTCCTGGCACTTCCTTTAGTTCTAGATTTTTTACATATGTTACATTATTTAATCCTTCTAACAGCTGTGTTTGTTAGGTATTCTATAGACCTCATATTACAGATGGAAAAAGTGAGGCACAAAAAGCATATATTGTATTGATTAAATAAAAACCAGCCATCCATCTGGTCTGTTAGACTATGGCATAAAGAGTATGCTATGAAGTTGGTTCATTAGAGAAAAACCTAGAAAAAGTAAAAGGAACACTGTTGGTTTGAGACAACTTAGAAAATTATGCACACAGTGAACATAATCTAAATGTTTAAAGTCACAAAATATGCAAAGGTAACCAGAGATTTGACTTAATGACATCATGGTAATTCAGATCAGATGAGAATGTCAGGGTTTAGTAAAGTGAAATCACAAATGAACAACCCAATGGCAAACAGTGAATGCAGTCACAAAAATGTTTCTGGTTGGGTTACAGTCATCCACCTAGAATACTTCCCAGGCTAATATTTTACCAGTTGTGAACACTCTTTACTTTTGAAAACATTTATGTATTTATTGTGTCTGCAGTCCATTGCTTTATAGAATGGAGGTCCTACAAGTTTGGGTTCTTGTGTCCCAAGTACCTAGAACAGTGTCTAAAACATTGTAAGCACTCAGTCAATATTTACAGCATGAACTTAGAGTAATATACGCCTAAAGGTAGCGTTAGCTTTGTTCTCTTACCACACCAGTGGCTTAAAATGGGAAAATATAAAATTCTCTGAAGTTCATTAAAGGATCACTTCAATATTCAGCACTGAATTCTATTGCATAGTAATTCATAGCTATCATCCACTGAAATTTATAAAAAGCAAATTTCACTAATATTTTATAAAGTTAGGGGCAGTTTTAAAGATGGTGACATACGAGGCTCCTGAACTCCCCTCCTCCCACAGACACACTGAATGAATGGCTACACGTGGAGTAATCCCTCCTGAAGGAAACCCAGAAACCAGCCGAGGGACCCCTACACATTGTCTGAACAAGAAAATACCTACATTGAAATGGGTTTGAAGGGCTGAGACACCTTTTACCATAAACCCCATTCCTAGCACAGTGCCATAAAATGGGAGGGAATCCCCAACTCCCAGCTTCTTCGTGAGAGGCTAAACATTTGGATTCCACATCCAGTGCTCCCACTTTAGACTCCCACCAGAAAGACAGGCCTCCAAGACACCTAGCTCTGGATGCCATGGGGGCTGACATCTGCAAGACCTATCAGGCTAGAGCAAACAAACAGGAAGTTACTAATGAGTATAAGCACTGCGCTGTGGCTGTCACCCCAGGGCTCAGTACAGAGGGAACAGGCAGAAATACCCATCTCCCAGGCTTTCCCTGAAAGGATCCTATTTGCATACTTTAAAAGCTGCTGCCTGAAGGTTAGGCTTCTACTTTAGCATGCATCTAGGGGCTCTGACTGAATCCTTCCTGGAGACTAGTTTATTGATACCTTCCCTGTCCTTTCCCATTAGTCCCCCTAAGTTGCCAGTATCTCCCTGCAAGGAGCTGTACACACTTGGGTGCCCCAGCTCTTGAGGCTGCTGCCTGAGGAAGAGCCCCTGGATAGCTCGACTCTCAGAGCCACTGAGGCTTGCATTCAGGAATCCCACAGCACTAAAGAAAAGAAAGAAGCTCTTAATGGGCTCTGCAATTCTCCTGCCCATCCTCTTTGCAGCTATACAACTGGGCCCAGGAGCAAGCAGGTAGAAACAATCACCTCCCAGCTTCTTGCTGGAAGAGGCCTAACTACTTATTCAAATAAAATTTCTTTCCTATTCAAAGTGGACTGTACATGGCTGGGCATCCATACTCCCCAGATCATGAAATTTCACTTCAAGGGTGTTGCATTTATAATGTTTTTGTGACCCTCAGGACTAGCTGCTACATGAATGTGTATTCTTTGTCAGCCTCATCAGCCTCTCTGCACTGAGGAAGTTCCAGTCTGCTGTGCACCGAGCAGATGTTTTGAGTCAATCTCCTGGTGCCCCTTTCGGGTTAGTACTGGGAGAGAGTGAGGGTCAGTGGTTGGCAGGACAAGGGTCAGCCAAAGGGCTTTTTCCCAGTCGGATCTGAATGCTATGACTTTGTGGGTAGGGACATAGAAAGAGAGCCACAAATGCATCCTTGAGTTACCTCTCTCTGCACCTGTTGGAAATGAGAAGAATTAAATATGTTGACCCAGATACCAAAGTCATATTTTAGGTGAATAAAAGGTCAGTTACAGAGGAGTATGTATGATGTGATCTTATTTTAATAAAATGAGTATTACATGACTAGGAAAAACATGTGAGACTATACACATATTATTAATGAATGTTTATAATTTCATTACAGATATTTATAACAATGAAAATGTCTTTTGAAATCAGAAAAAAACTTTAAAAGAGAGTTAAGTGTAGAAACATCCTTTGGTTTTCATCAGTTGGAGGAATTTACTCCTGAAACAAGTGCGTTGTAGTCAGAGACATTTCCTATGGCAATGTTGGATACATATCTGTTTTTATTTCTCATTGTAACCCTGCTGCCTACCAAGTATGCAAAAAAAAGTAAAGTATAAAACCCCATTTACTATGTTAAAATATTAGAAATAGAAATAATTAAATGATTAGTATAGGTGCAAAAAACACAGCACTTAAAACTTCCTGTGTTCCTGGCACTTCCTTTAGTTCTAGATTTTTTACATATGTTACATTATTTAAACCTTCTAACAGCTGTGTTTGTTAGGTATTCTATAGACCTCATATTACAGATGGAAAAAGTGAGGCACAAAAAGCATATATTGTATTGATTAAATAAAAACCAGCCATCCATCTGGTCTGTTAGACTATGGCATAAAGAGTATGCTATGAAGTTGGTTCATTAGAGAAAAACCTAGAAAAAGTAAAAGGAACACTGTTGGTTTGAGACAACTTAGAAAATTATGCACACAGTGAACATAATCTAAATGTTTAAAGTCACAAAATATGCAAAGGTAACCAGAGATTTGACTTAATGACATCATGGTAATTCAGATCAGATGAGAATGTCAGGGTTTAGTAAAGTGAAATCACAAATGAACAACCCAATGGCAAACAGTGAATGCAGTCACAAAAATGTTTCTGGTTGGGTTACAGTCATCCACCTAGAATACTTCCCAGGCTAATATTTTACCAGTTGTGAACAC